AAAGATGTTTGAGGACCTTGAAAATACCAGTTTATCTGAAGAAAATCAATCTTCTCCAAGATGTATTGTTCGCATGATCAATGCCAGAAGTATTTTAATTTTGCCGTGCAAGCATTTTTTGTTTTGCATGTCATCCATTGAGCAAGTGCAAGCAAGCAGAACATCATTTGTTGTACGTAACTGTTAATGAGCCTTCTCAGTGAATGATTGTATTTTTATTTTTATTTTATTTGTATTTTTAATTTTGAGGCAATATTTACAATCGGAAAATAAATTGATTTTCTTGAAGATTTGAATTTTGTCGATATATTTTCAGATTTACATATTTTGATATAAATGATAATTTGCCTTTTTCGAAATAATTTTTTAAAAACATTTCCGCTGAATTTTCAATTTATTCCTTTTCTTGAAATGTTCAATATAGTTCCACATTTTTGATACAAATCTCGATTATTAATTATATGCAATAATTAATTTATTATTTTTAATTTGTTATCTAATTTAGTTATTTTTAATTTTGTTATTTAACCCTGGATTTTGGATTTTTTTATTTTACCCTGACTGGATTTGTTATTTTTGAGCCATTTCTTTTTCATGATTTCAATCTAAAGTAAATAAATCTACACGTTTCAGACAAAATGATTTCTTAAAGATTTAAGATTTAACAAACTATAGTTCTAGAACTATAGTTTTTAAAATCTTAAATTTGAGTTGGGAAGCTATTTGTTAAACCGAACTTGGCTTATCGAATAGCTTGCCAACTCAATAGGCTCTTTCTATAGTAACTGGCTCTACAATTACTAGGCTTTTTTTAAGGAAGTTGTTTCTTTTTTAACGACTTCTTTAAAAGTTTTTTCTTTTCCCTATGTCTATGTCTATGAGAGATAAAGGTACATAACTTAAAAACTGTTACTTGGATTCATAAAAACCGTTTTTGGACTATGTTTGAATGTTTTTTCGAAATGGTTTGACTATTACATTATTATCCCATTGAGCAAGGTAAAATGTCTTTTTTTTTTCTGTGTTTTTTACAGAAACTCTATAAGATCTGTTATAGTAGTTTCTATATTCAATGTAACAGAAACCGAGGTGATGTTACCTCCAGTCTATCTCTAGGGTTTAAAAAGGTTTTCTCTAATTTGATTTTTATTACAACATTTAAGGTACAGATAAAAATATATAAAATGTATACAGTGCTAGATTACCTAAGAGAACAGACTAGGCCTTGGTCTGGGCCCCCTTTAATTAGGGCACCCAAGTTTTTTTTTTTTTTTTTGGGGGGGGAGGCTTCTAATTATCAGGGCCCTTTAAAAACCTTATTTTTAATTTGAATAAAGTATAAATGTTGTATATTATTGTGAATTAGTTTATAAAGCAATTACGGCGACTTAAACATTTAATAATAATATATTTGCTGTAACAACAATATACATTGTTACAAAACATACTGAGGTGCTATAACAGCTGTTAATGTTATAAATTGTCATTAATTTTATAAATTGTCATTAATATTATAAATTGACATTAGCTTTAAAACAATTTAAGTACCTTGAATAAACAACATAGAATCCCATTTATATTGATTATTATTCCTTTTTCATAAGAATTCTATTTATATTTATTAATATTTATTTTGAATAGTTTATTAAAAAAAAACTTAAAATATTTCTATACCATTTATCGTTAGTATTGTTACAATTTTATTTTGTATTATTTTTTATTTCACCTTGTTTATCGCAGCGGGTTTGGATTTAATGCACAATTTGACAATGTGGTCTCAAAATCTAACATTAGAATGGTTAAATTGATTTCTAATTAGTAGGTGTACATCGATGTCACTTTTGGCCGATGCCGATGGTACAGACCGACCCATCGGCCGATGCATCAAAATCGGCCCTATATTCAAATTGTACTCTTTTATTTTTTACGAAGAGGTGAATTAGGATTTTTTTTCCAAATATAATTTTGACGGTCAATTTTAATGCTTGCTTATTAGCTAAAGTTTGCCTTATTTTAATGCTTACTTGCTAAAAATTGCTTAATACTTAATTGCTTCGCTTATTGTTGATTTATTTTTTAATTATATTTATTTCTAAATTTAATTTCTAGAGGTTAGAAGTTTACATATTTACATATTTATATATTTGAGCAAACGTAGCGCATTCGTTAGCGCGCTTGGCTCAGAAGCTAGAGGTTTGTTTTAACTTAATTTTAGCATTGAATAAGATTGCTCAAAATCTCTCTCAAAAAAGAAATATGAGACACAAAGCTGAATGAATGGCAAATGAAACAAAGCTGAATGCATGGCAAAAGAGATAAAAACTTTTTAACTTGTCTTTATGCTCATATTGTGGAGCATTATTTTTGGCTGTTTTTGACCAACCAGTAAGAACAAATTAATATCAAAAGTTAGACAAAATGAAAGAAAATTTTGATGAATTTGAAAACAAAACAAAACTAATTTTGTCAGATATTCGTTATTCGAATGTTACAACGCCAATTCGTTTAAAAAGAAGAGATTCTATCCACAGGTGATATACTTGCTTAAAGTAATTTTCGTATTAACGAGTTTATTAATTATTGATTGGCATAATAAAGAGATGTTATTTTTTGAGCATATTGTATGAAAATAATAATTTTTTAAATCATGATGTAAGTTTTTTTTTTTAATTATCATAATTATAAACGTATATATAAAAAAATGTAAATTATTAAAAAACAATAAGTATGATTAAAGATATGATTAAAGATATAATTAAAGTATGATTAAAGATATAATTAATATTAGATTAACTCATTGTTTTTTTTATTTACGTAAAAAGCTTTATATGCATTTGTAATGAATGTACGTTCTTTGTTACTCATTATTTATATATCAATATAAATTTTAAAATGGGACCTCCAAAAGTTTTTCCGGCACTGAATGTGAAGGTGACTGAATGTTGATCCGATTTTGAGATAACTATTGGTAACTAGTTACTGCTTTGCAGGTTAACAACTTTGAAGACGTTACTAATTTAATTGCAGTTTTGGTTTCACTCTAGTTATTGCTGGTACTTATGGAATATTCTTCTGAATATTCAGTCTCATGATATTTTGTCTCGGACTCGGATTCTAAAGTTGATGTTATTTTTTTTTAAACAAATTATCAAAGACCAAACTGAAAACTTTATTTTTGTCTACAGCATTTATACAAAATCTACATTTTGGCTTCTTTCAAAAACTCACTATATGATATATAAAACAGAGGTGTTAAAGCAAAAAGTTAGGAGTTGTATTTTAACAACCGGATGGTTTTCTGTCCTTAATTTGTTGGGAATTATTTATTAACATATTTTTTAATACTCAAGATTTATGAGCTTCCCTTCCTCTTACCACAATTAAACTTTTATATCTATGTTTTTTCGTCTAACCTGCATTTTTCACCGGCTAAAAACCTCGCTAATGAAAAGTACGCTTAGATTGCATTTGAATATTCAACTGACCCTTAGGTATGTCTTCTCAATGCAACTAAGACATAGAACAAACAAACTCGTAAATAAATAAAGAACGATAATTTTAAACAAATGCGATTGGTTGTTAGTGGCTAACCGAAAAACTTTTAATTTATTGGTATTTACTTTACGCAAACAAAGAATTCAAATTGGTTTTTACTTTACGCAAACTTATTGAAATTGGTATTTATTCAAATTGGTATTTACTTTACGCAAACAAAGTAATTTATTTATAAAGTTTATCTAAACCTAACGTAACATTATTGTTAAACATACTCATTTAGGTGTGGTATAGAAAATAGTAACTTCAATTTTCATAAAAAAAATGGTTTTTCATATTATTAATTTTCTCCAAAAAATGTGTGATAAGAAATGTCTAGTTACATTCAAACACCAATACGTGCTTTTATGAAAAAATCTAATTCATAGACTTATCTATAGCCAAGCCCCAATGTACTTTATGTTGAAAATTGCAACTTTTCTAAATAAAACTACGCTTGACGATTTGTTATAGTCACATTATTTTTACCAGATTATAATAGTGGTTAAAATAATCTTTCCATACATACCAAATACGTCATATTTTTTGATGAAAAAACTTACACCTATTGTAATTTAAAAAAACTTAAATTTTTGTTCGGAAAAACGTATACCATGCCTTAGTTGCATTGAGTTGTGCCAGAACGTCAGTTTTCCGTATAAACTCTTGTTAAATACATACTGTAACATGTTTGATTTAATTTCAAAAAGTGTTTAAAAATGTTAAATTTGCGAACTGGAAAAAAGCGTTGTGAAACAATGAATAAATTGAATCCTAAATTAGCAAAAAATTTCTTTGTCTATGCTAATAGATTTTCTGGGCTTCTGTATAGGTTTTTATAAATCGTTGCATACAATAAAGTAACATAAAAACAGGATTATTTGTGTTAGAAAGTTTAGGATTGAAAGTTTCAAACTTAAGAAATTGGTCTGTGGATGTTCAAGATTTGAGTAAACTTTAAACTTCAATTTGTTTAAGTGGCAAGTCTTTAATTATCATCCAAGTATATGCAAGACTGTTTTTACACTTGAAGAGCTTGCTCAACCAACAAAAAGCTGTTTTCAAATAAGGGTAAAACTTTGCTTTAGCCGAATAGACATATAAGATTTTGGAAAATCAATTGGGTAATCAGTAAAATGCAAACTTGTTTAATGAACCTTATAGGTTAAGCTTGTCGGTTGATTACATAATCTAGGAACTTCAAGCAAAATGTAAGTTTTAATCTAGGGTTTATATCAGAGAAAAATTGTTTTTATAAATATCATTAAAATTTTATCATTGCGGTCCATTAAATGTTTTGGTTCACAGTTGGGATTTTACAGACTGAACTGAAATTGAACTACACTAAAAACGTCAATTTAATCATGAGTTTTTTTTCAAAATCTCATAAATTTCTCTAAGATTATGAGACAATACTGCTCCTATTTAAACTGTATTTTTAAAGAAAAAAAGAAAACAAATGGGTGTAGAATTAACTGTAATAACAGTTATTTTATAATTATATTTATAAATAACTGTAATAGCAGTAACAGCAACCTCTAAAATAATTTTACAATTTAGCATAACTATCACATACTTTGAATAATCATTATGAAACGATTTACTTTCCACCCCCGTTCAGAGTTGTTAAAAGAGCTGTACTGATACGTGATTTCGGAGGAGGTTTCTTTTGGGATTTTGGATAAATCTTTTTCTGTTTATCGGCTGATTTTTCACTTAGCACTAACACATTTTTGTTTAGATTTTGAACATTCATACATTGATCCCAATCATTTTGATTTGGAGGATTACAATAAGCACGGTTGGTATAGCGATCAGGATTTTCTTCTCTTATAGTTTCGCTGACTTCATCTACGTACCACGAACCAGTTTCAAGAGCAGCACCAAAGACACAAATATATTTGTTTGTTCCATCATAATCTAAGCAAGGCAGTCTGCACTTAATAGCTCTGTTTTGAACTTCACCATAACAATCATCAGAATAAGCGAATCGAACTTCTTCACTTAAAATCATTTTCGGACACTGGCATCCAATCTCAGCCGTTATCTAATAAAATTAAAATAATGAAAAAAATTCCGAACCATGCACTAAAGTTGAACACTAAAAAGAAAATATAATTTGAACCAAAGAATAAACAAAATATAAATAACACAATGAAATTCAGGTTTATGATGCTATATAATACATAAGTATATTAATGAATTTAGGTTTAAAAGTATGTTTCAAACATTAAATTAAATTAGTCATTTTAAACATTAAATTTTTATTGGTGTTATTTTTTAGCAAAGAAAATAAGAAACGATAAAATAAGTAAATAATTACATGTTGTTACTTTTATACTTTGTGTACTTTTTCAGTACAAAAAGCCATTTTAACCTCAGCAGTTTTAGCTGTTGCAATAAGTTTCTCTAATTGTTTATATGACTGGCAGGTATTAGATCGAGGGTTTTCAAATACAATGAAAATAATCATACATAACTATATGTATAATCTGGCTTAACTTCCAAACTGTTAAAGATAGCAGGCTCATATTTTTACTGATAGATTTTGTGTATTTTTTGCATATTTAACTCGGGAGACAAATACCATTTACATTAATTTTTAGTTCTACTGTGAGGAGATGTTTGCTTTGGAAAAGAGTGTGAACATCAATTTGGTAAACCTTCTGTTATCTTGTTATCTAGTATATACACACAAGAACATGAACGTTTTGGGTCATCTACACAGTTAATGTATGTATATATATATATATATATATATATATATATATATATATATATATATATATATATATATATATATATATATATATATATATATATATATATATATATATATATATATATATATATATATATATATATATATATATATATATATATATATATATATATATATATTAGAGTGGGTCAAAAAAAATTTTTTTTTTGTTACAGGCTCTAAACATTGCTAATAGTTATTAATATTGATACTATCAAAATGAGAATGATTGTGATAGATTTAAAGGGCGCAACTTTATTGGGAAACTTACTGGTACCCTAATATCTTGGAGAAAAAAAGTTTTTCAAAAGTAGGTCAACCTGGTACTTAAAAGAAGCGAAATTTTATAAAAAATTCGAAAATAATAATCATTTTATGAAAATCATATTGCTAAAAAAAATTGTTATTAAAAAACATGTAAAAATGCATCTTTTTCACTTTTAGTTAAAAAACTATTATAAATTGCTCTATTATTTGATAATATTGAGCACTGTAATACGATCAAGAGTTTTTGTATTTTACACTGCAATACTAACCTCATATATATATATATATATATATATATATATATATATATATATATATATATATATATATATATATATATATATATATATATATATATATATATATATATATATATATATATATGGACACTCACACAGACATAAAAATGTACATAAACAAATATAAAAAACTGTAAACCTCATCGCAGGTGCTCCCAATTAAGCTGTTGTAAAACATAACCATTCGTTCAATCAAAGAAGTCATGCCTTCTCTCACAATGAGATCAAAGTAAAAATGCTTGATATGAGGTAAGGAAATTGATACTTTATCATTTGAAAATGTGTCACTGAAGCTAAATAAAGACATTAATATACTTTATACATGTATACATGTATGTATATATATATATATATATATATATATAATATATATATATATATATATATATATATATATATATATATATATATATATATTTATAGAGAGAGAGAGAGAGAGAGAGAGAGAGAGTTGAATTCCATTAATTAGACTGAAGAAGTACATATATATTGTCTGTTTTAACCAATGTCCACAATAGCCAAGCTGTTATTATTTTTTTATTTTTGAAAATTTCTTAGATTGAGATTTTGAATGTTTTTAAATAAATAAATGAATATTAAGTATGTATATACAGAAGTATGTATATACAGAAATTACAATCTTATGTGAAATATACTTTTACATATAACTATAACTTTGTATATAAATCTTGCATATAAACTATAAACCAACTTATCCAAAACTGATGCTTGCTTCATTGACTTGTACAACTCATTTTCAAACAGCTTTGAAGTATTTAAAGCTACTCTTTAATAAATTTTATAAAAATTGTTAAAATTGTTTACTAAGCAGTTATTATAAATTCTTATAATAACCGCTTAGTAAACAATTTTAACCAACCATGTGGTTAGTTTTCTGGTAAACAATTTAAACCTCCTTGTTAGTTTTCTTGTAGCAATCTTCGACATTTTTAATAAATAGAATTTAATCGAAGCTACAGAACCAATCAAAGATGCCAGTGAAAATACTAATGTATTTTATTTCCAAGCATTCAAAGTTTTAAAATTTTAATCTTTTGAAATTCATAAATGGATTGAGCAAGATATTTTTTCAAGTCAAAAAGTGTGTTTCATAAAATAGATTTAAAGCAAATGATTAAACAAGAAATATTTCTACAATATTGCATGTACTGTTATTGTTACAATTTGTTACTGTTACAAACATTAAAAAAAAAGTAAAGGTTTTCAAGGATATAAACATGTAAACAATTTAGTATTTGGTAAATAATTTTTTTTTTACACAATTTATTAAAACCAATGCATGGTTCATTGAACAAAGCATAAATTTAACTGTATCTAAATTTAATGTTTCTTAATTAATGTTCCTTAAAACTTTAACATTTAACTGTAAAATTTTAATATTTAAGAGTTCCTAATGATTTGTATATTTCCTATTATTTTTTACAGTTAAAGATTTTATGCAAGCCCTAGTGTTTCATATGGTTTTTAATTTATGAAATATTTTTTGATATCTCATCTAGTTCCCAGTGTTTTAGATGATTAAGGATGGTGATGTTTTAAATTTATTGAATATACATATACAATTAACTTACTAAATATAAATAAAAATAAAAAGTTATTATAAATTAAAAAAAAACCTTTTAGGAAAAAAATAAGCTTTAAGTGCAAAGTATAATGTATGTAAAAATGATAATATATTTTTTGTGTAAAAAATATATGAATATGCATAATGAATAAATGAATTTAAATGAATTTTAACAATCAACAATTAAGCTTTAAAAAAAAATAAACTTTTGTATAAAATTTCAGTGTTTTAATTGTGGCTGTTTCATTGTATTCTGGTTTTATTTGAGAATATACAAGGAGTTATATACTAACTAGGAAGTGACTGGGGCCCCGGCTAAAATTGAGACTTTTTGCAAACCCAGCCCTGGAAAAATTATAAGATTTAGCAGATTTTGATAGCCGGGGCTAGAAAAAAATTTATAATACTTTATATAATATAATTTTATACTAAATTCACTATTAATTAAATACTGATACATATTTTTATACTTTTAAACTCTAATTTACTTCCAACAAGATTGCAAGCAACCACTATTAAGTTATGCATTTAAATAGAGAACAACTTAAAATACTAGGAAACGGTAGGTAAAAAAGAAAACATGAAGATGGGTAAGAGTTATAAGGCTTTTATTATGTGCAAGGAAAAAACTAAATTATTAAAAGTTTTTAAAGCATGAAGTGACAGGTACAGTAAAAGGATGTAACTTGTTGAATAAAAAGCCAAGCAAGAATGAGTTTTGGTTTATTGTAATGAAAAATTTGAAAAAATGAAAGCAATTGAATTGAATAAAATGCAACCTTACAACAATGGGAGAATGGCTCAAGCTTGGCAGATAAAGCAGGTCTAATTACTTTTATAATGTGCTTTTTGACTTTGTCTGAGAGTAAGAGGGTTGTTATTTGTCAGTATAGAAATTCCAACAATATTTATATTTATTTTATATATATTTGTTTATTGCAATATTTTATTGCAATGAAAAAATAAGTTTTTATTTTCTAACAAAAAATTATTAATTTTAAGTACAGAACTTAAGTCCATAAGCCCGTGCAAGATTTAGGCTGTTACAGAAGAGAGATCAGCTTCTTTTCTAAGCAATCAAAAAATGAAGATTTTTTGCCAGGACAAGAGTATAAACTTGAGTCGTCAGCAAATAAAGCTACTTTAGATGTAAAATTTTTATGAAGATCGTAACTGTAAATAAGAATCAATACAGAAGCAAAAATAGAACCTTAAAAATAAAGAAGAATGTAGGCTTTCAAGAATAACTTTAATACAGCAGTTAGAAAGAATTTATTAATCTCATAACCTTTATATGAAAAAAACTGAGTGAAGATTGATCATAGGATAGTTGGAGAGTTCAAAGTGTTTTCTAGAGTTTTGAAAAATTGGAACCACTTATTTACCACTTTTCAAAAATATAGCAAAAATCAAAAAGAGTTCTGGAGAACACTTTTTTAAGACTATGATGGAAATCTTGTCTGAAGCACAAACTGTAGAAGTGTTTAATAGAGAATTAACTTAAGCGTTGGAAGCCAGAGTGGTTTAGATGTTTAATTATGGGTTAATCTGTTTAACTGTCAGGAAAATTATGGCCATTAGATTTAAGAGTCAAATTAGAGTAAGATTTCTTTGCAAATAACTCTGCCTTTTTCGAGAGACAAGTAAAAAGATCAGACCCATGAATTAGAGATTAAATGTTAGACTTACTTTAGTTAATGACACTGTTGAAGACTGACCAAGTCTCTAGAACCTAAAATCTGAGATAAGATTCAAGATTTGGTAAACTAAGAATAACAGAGCCTAATGTCAGACAGGACTATTTTACAAAGGCTTCTTGAAATAATAAAAGAACATTTTTTTGTAAGAGAAAAGTTCTTATAAAAAAGACAAAAAAAATGATTAATGTTTAATAAAGTAACTGCTCAATATGGTGAAAAATGTGGAGTAGAATGAGGGTTGACTTAAAATTAAAAAAAAGAAATAAAAGCTTCCAAACTTTTATTTCAAAAGGTATAAAAGCTTCCAAGATGCGCTTTATGCACACATATTATGTATATCAACATATATGTTTGCTATTTATTTAGATGCTGGCATACAATATCCTTTCATATTTATGTAAACTTAAGTACTTATATGGTGTAGTATTAGCCAAAAAAGATAATCAGATAGATGTGTGGTGTGACTCTAGCAAGATAAGAAAGAAGGCATAATCTTAGACATATTAGAAAATTTTTTTGTATCAAACAACATTTAGAAAAGATTAAAGTGATTTAGGTTTTAGCATGAAGAAAATTTTGAATTAAAAAAATATACTTTAGAATTCATAAATGTTTATGCAGCCCCAATCACAAACCCGACCCTGGCTATATTTTATCAAACATGGGCCCAGCTATATTTTATCAAACCCAACCTCTGTTATTTTTTATCAAACCCGACCCCGGTCAAATATCAACCCCGGTCACTTACTAATACTAGCCAATTAAAATTACTATAAAACTGGTATTTACGATAAATATCCTTGTGTGTCACTTGATTTTTTATATTTAGGAATCATAGAAGTATCAAGCAATATGCCTTCAGGCACATCTTTCAAGTTTCCGATACCGGCACCTAAAAATAAACAATAACTTGAATATATAATACAATATAATAAAAACTTTGCAGATTCAAAGGTAAAACCAAAGCAAAGACATAAACTACAGTAATATAATAAACTACCACAAAACAAGTTTAATTGAGAAATTATGGAATATATTTTTTTAGTAACTAAATATTACATTTTATTTTTAATATTTAATATAAACATTTCTTTTTTCTCAACATTTGTATAATAAACTAGTTGTTTCATTTTATTAAATTTTTATTTCATTAATGTGAAGTTGCGGCATTGTAACTGATGTTTTTTTTGTTTTTTTTTAATGTGAGCAACATAAAAAAAAAAAACTTATTGAAAAATAAAAACTGTATTACTTTACCAGCAATTATTCTAGGTCTTTAAATACCATTTATTAAAAAAGTAAAGTACACACAGCAATTTTTTACAAATAGATATACTATTTTTATTGCTAGGATTACCACCCAAATTCAAGCTCCTCCTACCCAAGTCTATAACTAAATTATATACAATATAAATCAATAGTATTGCTCACCTTTTATGGTGTGTTGATATCTTAATTTATACAGATGTTTAGCTGCTCCAATAACATCTTCTCTCAGTAGTTCTAATTCATGATGAAACGCACATTTATTCAATCTCTAAAAAAAATTATTATAAAAACAATTTGAATTAAAAAAATATTACTTATTAGTCAAGGTTAATTTTTACATCTGGTTTTTAGATATAATTATAAACATTATCTCATACAATTTTTGTATAATATGCATATCATTATATGTACAATATTGCCAGCAAAGTTTTTTTACTTATAATGCAAAAATGCCAAGTAAAACATCAGTGAAGAAAGCAAAATAGAATTCAATAAAAGGTTTAATAAAGAGAAGTGAGGAAATATTTTGTAATTTTTTCAATGTAATCTTTTTTTAAGCCCACAAACTACTAAAGCATTGTTAGAAAACAGTGTCACTCTTTCAAAAACATTATTGTATGATGAACAACTCTGATTTCAGTCAATTATCATGATAGTTATGGATTTATTAATATCAGAAAGATTGGAGAGATTATAATTAATACATAAAAGTGGTTTGATCAACATATAGTATTAATAGCAAAATCATCATGGAAATCTTTTATTGTAGTAAATGTGCTATTTATTGCAAGGCACCCTGTTTGTTCACTCAAATTCAGCTTATTCTACCAAATTCTAATTAACCTTTCACACTAATGATTTAATAATTAATTTTTTGTAATTTCTCAACCCCCTTTTAAGTAATAATGTTTATTTTTACATTTTCTACAAAAATAAACTTACTAAAAACTAAAAGCAAAAAAAATATTTACTGTTTCATTCAGCAAACAGTTTCTACTTAATTTTACTTAATTACATAATTACCTTTGCTTTAGAACGATTAGGATCCATAAGCGCCAAATGAATCAATGAAGAAGCTCTTATATAATAGATAACTAAGACGACCCAGTTTGGATCAAATATCATATCACTGGTTGAAATGGTTTGTGGAAAGAACTTTTCCTATAAATATAAAAGAGTATAACTGAAAAAACACTTTTCTATAAATAAAAAAATTAATTGATGTTATTTTACATTTGAAATTAACTAATATATTTACTGTATCTTATTTTATTATATAAAATATATAAACCTTTTTTGATAGAAAATTTGAAAAGTCATTTTTGATTTTCAAGTCTTTTCCTTTTTCTAAAAATTCTGAAATTGCTTCCACCTCATCTTGTATTTCACTAAAAAAAAATGCAAAGTATTTTTTAAGCAGATACAAAAAGTCTTAAAATAAAAATAGTCAACAAAAAACAATGTTTACCTACAATTATGTTGTCAACATGTGACTATAGAAGACAAGCAATTGTTAATTGTTAAAAATAATCAATTATTGTCAAAAATGTAAGAGTTATCAATAATTTCTACTCATGAACATTTGAGGTGTACACAAGAAGCCAAATTTGGGTCAAATATAAAAAAAAATTGCGATTACAAAAAAAAAAAATTCCAAAAATATTATAATACCTGGAAAAATGCCCCAAATTTTTCTAAAGTATTTGGGCTTTGAGCGCAAGGTATATCTCAATATTTTGATTTTTAATTAATAAAAAATTTTTTATAATGTGGCATAAAGGCCTAAAGTCTTTTTTTTTGATTGTGTATTCTAGTTTTTTCATGATTGTTGTTTAAATTAAAAAAAAGATTTTGCAAAAAAATATATTTGCGTAAATAGGCAAAAAAAAAAACAACCGCTCAAATACCATGGCAATACTTAGTAAGTACGGCTTTAGCAAATATTTTGTTTTTTTGCGAAATCTTTTTTATATTTTAAACAACCATTATGATCACGTTAGACAAAAAAAATAACAAGATTTACCTTGCGCTTAAAGCCAAACAATTTAGGAACAATTTGGGGCATTTTTCGGGTTATTTTGCCGCTTAAACACGAGGTCAATAGTTTTGGATTTTTGTTGTAATCGTATTTTTTTATATTTGCCCCAAATTTAGCTCCTTGTGTATTCGCGTTTTAAAAATTTTATGTTTTTGAACACCCCTAACTAACATACGGGAGGGTGTGTTTGATCCCCCTACTCTTCTTCCAATCAAAAATTTTTTTGTTGTCACCCCTTAAGACCTTCACAAACAGGGCCCACGACACAGGTTTCAAATTTCTGAAAAAAAATAGCCCTATAGAAAAAATTTAGGAGCAAACTGTCATATTCGCTTTTTTCATTTAGGTGTCACCCTTCTGTGTCAAGTCGTGATGGTGTCACCCGATGCAGCCCGCGCCTACCGTACCCTCTTAATGACGCCACTATGTTAGATTTAATGTATTTACCCGTCATCCGCTTAAATTTTAACTGATGTTAAATGAACAAATGTAACTATTTTTATCTGCGTAATAGTAAGTATAAATAACAAAATATGGCGGGCTAAAATTAAATTTCTAGTTTTTTTGTTACTAAAAACTTTAGTTATTAGTAAAACCAAATTAAAAAATCATTCTAAATTTGTTTTAACGATGTTTTTTTTTTTAATACTAAGCTTTTTTTTAACGATGTATTTTTTTTAACTAAGATTTTTTTGTTGCATTTTATTTTTAAAGCCATATTTCAACTTTCGAGGAGTCACCTCACGGGTCAAAAACCAAGCAAAGGTTGGCGGAATATTTTAAAACTGACGAATCTTTCACGTGAATTACATGAAATGAAATTAAATAATATACCCTAAATTATAAAAGTAAATCTAAAAAAAAAATTAATGTCAACAGATCTATAAACCGACAATTGCAAAAAGTTAAAATCCACATCTAATAATGTTGCATTATATTGTTAAGAGCAAACCTGATGCTATTTCAGCGTTAATCCAACATTAGTATAACGTATTAACGTAACATGGAATAACGTTGGGCAACTTAAGCTTGATCGTATTCCAATTTCGATCAATGTTAATTCAACTCAACAAACGTTGCAAACGTTTAAGAACGTTCTATTAACGTTCGTAGGACGTCCTCGAACATTCGCAACGTTTGTCAACGTTTGTGTTAGCTGGGTTGTTAACGTTAGAAAAATAATAAACATTTTTTTTTTTTTTTGTCGGCAAAATTGTAATGGCACCCCCCACGTGACACCTACTCGCGCCGGCTCTGTATGTATATATATATATATATATATATATATATATATATATATATATATATATATATATATATATATATATATATATATATACATATATATATATATATATATATATATATATATATATATATATATATATATATATATATATATATATATATATACATATATATATATATATATGTATGTATATATATATATATATATATATATATATATATATATATATATATATATATATATATATATATATATATATATATATATATATATATGTACATATATATATATATATGTACATATATATATATATATGTACATATATATATATATATATATATATATATATATATATATATATATATATATATATATATATATATATATATATATATATATATATATATATATATATATATATATATAAATATATATATATATATATATATATGTATATATGTAGGCATAAATAATAAAAGACAAAATGTAGGCATCATTTATGAGAGTATGGAGAGTGTGTAAATTATTATTTTATAAACACCAATTATATCAATAAATACGAATTTCTCTCGATACTAAATTTATTTTTTTAAAAGAAATTTTCGCTGAATTGTTCTGATTTGCGTCTTCAGTCTAAACTTTTTTTTTTAGCGTCTTCAGCTTAAAAACTTTTAAGCTGAAGACGCTGGTTGCAACAATCCAGCCAAAATTTAGTATTAGTATATAGAAATTCGTATTTATTGATATTTATAAAATAATATTTCTCGATCTTGAGAAACAACACATGCTTGTAAAAAAACATTTTTGCAAAACTTACAATTGATTTTATATGATGCACGCAAATGTTTATTTTTTGTTTGTAGGATTTGGTTTGAACATGAAGTAGTATCATCTGTGCTTTTTTACGTTTAACCGCCCTAGCTTTTATTAATGTTTTTAAGTGCAAATCATGTTCATTTTCAGTTTTTAACAAATAAAAATAGTTCCAAGTTTCATTTTTCGTTTCATCATACAATATACAAAAAAATACCATATACCAACTGCATTTTATGGCCCAAAAGCAGCACACTTGTCCAATTAGTGATAAATTCACCAAATACAAGGTCACCTTTGTAGCTCGTGTGTTTTTTACCTTTGCTCCAGATTTCTATTTTTCTAACGAGGTAATGTACATCCTCGTGTACATTACCTCGTTGTTTTTTTATATTTATCATCAGAACCACTTTTGTTCTGCATTTTTTAAACCAAATAATGATAAAACACAAACTTTAAACAATATATTGTAAATCACGTCTTCAAACTGCAAGTGAGCAAATAAAGTTGCGTATTTGAAATAATGATTTTATGTGTTTGCTTAGAAGATCCTTTTAAAATTCTCTAAGGAGCAAGTAACGGTTTTTGAATTTATAAAAAAAAGAGTGATTATTTATAAATAAGAAGATTCAAATACCTTTTTTGAAAACAATTTAAAGGTTTAAACTAAATCACTTAAAAATAAATTAAATCTTTAACACTTTCTTTAGCTTTTATTAAAACGGTTTCAAACCATTAGTATAAAAGATAACGAAAACAAAATTGTCTTTTTCGTTAATATTTTTGATGATATTAAATAATAAGCCCAAATACTTATGTTTACATATATCGCTTTTTTTTTTTTTTTAATTAAACAACGCATTTTTTTTTTGTGTGTTTTTATAACTTCCATGATTTTTTGTTGTTTTTACTTTTTTTTAAAAAAAATTATGCTGCTGGAAGATTGTTAGCTACAAATTATTTTATTGCTGAAGTTTTTTTGTTTTTATTTTTGTATTTATACTGTCTTTTTGTCTTTTATTATTTATTGTGCATGTAAATTTTTGTGTGACGGGGCTCGGTGATAAGACAACCTGTCTTCTTCTTGCTCCGGCCAGGATTTTCTTTTATTGTAATTTCTTTTTTGTAATATTTATCAACGGCAAAATAAATAAATAAATAATAAAAAAAAAAAAAAAAAAAAAATATTCGCAGTCAGATCACTATACAAAAATAAAGCCTTAAGAAAAACAGCGATTTATTAGCGTATATTTAGCGTAAAATAATTTCCCCACAACTCTAAACAGTAACAAAACCTCAAAGGCTCAATCTCTCACTTACAACAAACCTAGCGGAAAGAACAAGAGGGTCCAGCAGGTGCAGACGTCCGTGGGACGTCTACACGACGTCTTATGGACGTTACAAGTCTTTAGGATATTCATAAGACGTCCAGTGGACGTTCTGTGCCCGCTTGGTTAATATTTTACAAATTTATACTACTAAATATAAAAACGAACCAAGACAAATACAAAATTTACAGCTGAAAGACGCCACTAAATTTCACTTAACGATTTTTGTACTAAATGAAAATTTTAACCCAAAATACAAGTCATTGAAAAGCGTGAAAAGATAACGTATTTTTGCTAAAAACGGTGTGACTTGCGTTAGCCGGTCATAATCTATAATAATAAAGTTTTGGAAAAAAGGAATTTCAAATGCCAATTGACGGGTTTCTGAAATAAACGTTTCTAATAATTAGATTTGTTTTGAAATACTTCAAGCCCTCAGAATTTTTATTTCGAAAAATTAAATAGTGTTTTTTGTTTGAAACTTAAATGAGTTTACCATATTTACAATATTTTTTGGAAAACAATATCCTCAAGCAGGTTCTCAAAATGCTATTAAATACTCTGTGTACTTATTTAACTTTTTTGGAATTTTCAAGAATTTAATTTATTTTTTCCTTGGAAATACTTCGCATTTATTAGTTTTTTTCGAATTTAAAAATCGAATTAGCGTGAATAAAGATTTTGTACGTTTATACATAAAAATTAGGTGTTTGTAGATGTTTATATTATAAACATTCCTCATTTCCAACTCTCTCAATAGGGTTTTAGAATGCCCCCCTCATTTTTTTCCGGTATATAATTCTACACGCGTGTTTTTGCTCACTAAGTTTTGTTGGTTGTATACTACCCCATATAATATTGGCATATTTATTAAAATAATGAAATAAAGAAAAGTATATTAATTTAAACAAAGTGAAAATACTAATTAATGGCGGTTAATTACAAATAATTATTTAGGAACAACGAGTAACCAAGAAAATTATTGAAAGTAATGGCTAACCTAATTAAGTATAGGGATTAATTGCTAACCTGATAAGTGTAGATGTAAAATTTAATGGAAGAATGACGTCTTCTGTAAAACTTTTAACTTGCTCCCAGATTGATGAAGATTCACTTGAAAACCAATTAACAAGATCGTCTTTTTCACTGATGTCACTCAAAAAAGGTTTGTTAGACAGCTTAATAACTTCGACTATCTTTTGATAAGTCGTAAAGTTATCCTCGCTATTTTTTGCAGATTCTACGGTTACAGCAAGAACAAAATAAAACAAGTACAAAATTATAAAATTCATTTTGTAATACTCTTCTGTCTCTTTTTTTATAATTGTAATGCTGTTTACAGTATTTTCTATCGTTTTTATAACTTAAATTATCCACGCTTGATCAGTTTGTGTAGATACAAATCTAGTTTCCAACACGTGTTTAGAACTCGTTCGCCTGAAACCCGACGTGGCGTTTGACCCGTGTAAATCTCGTAATTAGTTTCGTTTTTAGTCCGTGTAGTAATTCATAAGTAACAAGTGTTCGATTCCAGTTTCTCTAACTCAAATAACTGGGTATGCAACAAAGCATGAATAAATTGCTACAGCATTTGTTTAAATAAATATATAGTAAGACACAATTGAACGAGACTCAGTGAGTTTAATTATTATTTTAACTTTTTGATAAACTTCTAGTAGATTTGATGTGTTCAAAAAAAGAAAATCACCTATAATTATTTTTTTATATATATTTGATATAATTGATAATGGTTAAATACTACTACAAATATTTACAGTAATAATTGCAATAGTTATACAATATATTACAATATGACAACATTGAAACAGCGTTATAGTACAATATACAAACCGCAATGCATTGTTATTGTATTGTTGCACAATACATTGTTAATGTATAGTTTGATATTTTATTTTTATTTGATAAAATACTTTTTGGATTGAGATTTACAACATTTTGTCAATTAACTTACAAAATTTATGAAAAACGCGTTTTTTTTTTACAAATATATACAAAAATAACGCATAAAAATTGAGTAAATGAATTTGTTGATATATGAGTCAGAAATGCACTATAAACGTTTTTATAATAAGTAATTAATAAATTAATTTAACCTGAGCTCATCGGATGAACGACAAAAGCTCTGTTGGAGCCGATGCCTCGAAGCTGCATGCTTCTCTACACGGTTATCCTGACAAAGGGAATCTCAATTAAATGTTAAAACCTAACTTTTTTTAATTTACTGTTAATTTTTTACTGTTAAAAATTTTGCTACAATATTATGAAATTTTCAAATAGTTAATGGTTTTTTTCCTTAAAAAAATAAAAAATAACTATGGTTTTCTAGACATTTTATAAAAAAACTTTCTAAAAATTTTTGCGCTACTTACACTTTGTTTAATACACATGTTTAATAACACCACAGTATGTTTTATTATTTCTTTTTTGGAATTATTTTTTGCTAAAAACATGCAAATAAACATTTAATGAGAAACAAAATATTTTCAAGAAATTGTAAAATTTAATTATAAATAATAAATTGCTGAAATATTTTCAAAATATCAAATTGGAAGGTGTCGTCGACCGTGAAAAACATATTGTGTCCCAGTCAATCATGCATTAATGTTGAAAATTCTACGCTATAGTATAAAATAAAAAGTCAAAAAGTTTTCGCGAAAGTGTAAAGTGCAAAAAAAAAATAAAAAAAATCAGGATCCTGATTTTTTCAAATCGATTTGAATTTATTTAAACTTAGAAGCGGAACCCAGTTTGCTAACTTTTTATTTCCCATTAAAGCTTTGATGTTTTTAACTTTATATTTCGTATTAAAACAGTTATTAAACTTTTCTTTCTGTTGTTGATAATTTCAATAAAAAAAGTAAGGCTACAAAGCCTCGCAAAAAAGAATGGCTCAATTAAAAAGTTCCAGAATACAACAGTTTTCGATACTTCTTAATAAATGTCCCTAGTCATCGAAAACTGTTGTACTCTGACAGAAAGTTGATACCCAATGTCTCTGACAGTTTAATTCTGCTTGATAGTTTACCTATTTTTTTACGTCTGTTGCACTATTTTTGTTATTTTTTTTTGTTGTGATATCATTTGATATCACAACAAGCAACACTGGAAAAAACAGATACGCTTATCAAACGCTGGAGAATGTCTTCAATTAAAATCTTTGGCAAAAAGGCACCACAGGTATGAAATTCCTTTTGTCTTTTTGTCGGATTTTATTTCATAAAAAAGTTGCAATCCAGTGTTTCTGAGTTTTGAGCATTCCAAGTATTTTTTGAAACACTAGATGTGACAACAATTTATTTACTTGACTTGAGATGTTTTATATTTTACACCAGATTAATATGTTTAAATGGTTGAAATTAGTGTAATACTTTATTAATGACATTGTTTTAAAACCTTACGCATTTTGCGTACAAAGCAATATAAAGTTATGCAATAGCTGTGCGTAATGTACAATTATTACAATAATGTGTCATGTACAATTATTACAATAATGCGTAATGTACAATTATTGAAATATATTTACAATGAGTACAGTTTTTGGCGTAAACTTGAATATTTAAATAGTTCAAAAACAATTTTTTGCTAATAAGGCAAAAAACTAATTTTGTTTTTCGAAAATTATATAAATACACAGGTGCTTTTACCCTAGGGTCGCCAAACTAATTGGGGCGCTTGATATTCTATTATCTTTAAAAATTTTGCCAGGCATTTTTTGTTTTAAATTTTTTATGGAATTATTAGAATTAATCTTAAATTTCTTTGAGTATTTTAATCATACTATTTTTATGATTAAAATAAACAGCGATTACTTCAAACAATCATAGGTATAAGTATGATTGGTTAAAGTAAACAGCGATTACTTCAAACAACCATAGGTATTTGTATGATTAGTTAAAAAAAACAGCGATTACTTCAAACAACCATAGGTAATAGTTCGATACGTAATAGAAAGTACTTCTGTGATTAGTTAAAATAAACAGCGATTACTTCAAACAACCATAGGTAATAGTTCGATACGTAATAGAAAGTACTTCTATGATTAGTTAAAATAAACAGCGATTACTTCAAACAACCATAGGTAATAGTTCGATACGTAATAGAAAGTACTTCTATCATTATTTAAAATAAACAGCGATTACTTCAAACAACCATAGGTATTAGTACGATACGTAATAGAAAGTTTCTGTTATTACTTTTACAGTGTATTTTTTCTTTTTATTTATTAAAAAAACAAATTTACAACAAACAACAAATATTAGTATTTACTAAGGATGAGATACTTGCAGCATACCGATAGCGATGGCAAAGTAAGCACCAATGATTTTTGGATGCCGCAAATATGAAATGTTTTAAAAATTAGTTTAAAATTCACTGATGTTATGCATATTATAAAATTAGTAGCTATAAATTCAAATGATTGATTGTTTCGAGTTTAGTTATTTGTTAAAAACTCTATCAGTGTGAAATATACAATTTTTTATTTCTATGATTTAGTAAATTAGTTTCAAATAAAGTTTGAATTTTATTTATATCACTAAATCACTAATATCACTAAACCATATAAAAAAGCACCATTGAAACTTGAAAACGCAATAAACCTTCAAAAGCATTAAAGAAAAAAAAATACTGCACTTTTATCCAACTCGACATCACTAAATTTTACCCATCCATCACACCCACACCCATCCATCACACCCACAATTCTAAAATATGCTCTAACGTTTGCAAAACAACTTATAAAAATTAGCAAAGAAGAAATCAGAATAATTATCTATTGCAGAAATTCTTTGTTATTTTCCAACAACGAAACTTAGGAATAAAAGTCAACTAACGACTGCTTCGAGTTCACAATGAGTTGTTACGATGAAGCCAAGGTTTACGAGCTGGTTGGTCTGTATATATAATTCATTATCTGAAACTATTACCAACAGCGATATGGGCCTTTACCGGGACGACGGACTGATAATAATGCGTCAAAAAACTGCCGCATAGATAGATAGAATCCGAAAAAATATTATAAAAATTTAAAAAAAAATCGGCTTCCAAATAGAAATTACGACAAACCTAAAATTTGCTAACTTCTTTGGCGTTACATTTAACCTTGAAAAAGACTCATATCATCCTTTCAAAAAACCAAATAACAACCTACTTTACATCCACACTGCGTCCAACCACCCCCCAAAAATTATTAAACAAATTCCAATTGCTATCAACGATAGGTTATCCCAGAATTCGTCTGACAGAAAAATGTTCAACTCGGCAAGGGCAGAATATGACAAAGCCCTAAAAAGAAGTGGGTTCAAAGATTTTAGCTTCAAAGACAACCCTAAAATTGATTTCAAAGTAACCCCCAATCGTAAAAGAAAAAGAAATATAATCTGGTTCAACCCACCATACAATAAAAACGTTCTCACAAATATACGCAAAACCTTCTTACAATTAATCGACAAACACTTTCCAAAACCAAATCCGCTTAATAAACTATTTAACCGTAACACAGCAAAAGTCAGCTACAGCTGTACAACCAACATAGCAAAAATTATAAAGAACCACAAGAAAAAAATTATTTCGATGAACCCAACGGCCACTTTAGCTTGCAATTGTAAACTAAGTAAACAAAATTTGCCCTATGAACGGCAATTGCAGAAAAACAAATTTTATTTATAAGTGCATTGCATCATTTCCAAACACACCCGACAAAACATTCTTTGGTTTAACAGAGGGCATGTGAAAAACTAGATGGGCGAATCACAAGCAATCCTTCAAAAATAAAAAACTCACAAATGCAACCACGCTTTCAAAATATCTATGGGATACACAAAATAAATCAAAAACAACACCTAATTTAAAATGGTCCATCATAAAATATGCCCCCGCTTACAACAACATAACCAAAAAATGCATGTTATGCTTATAGGAAAAACTAATTATCTTATTGTATAAAAATCCTCAAAAATTATTAAACAAAAAAAAAACAAACTAATATATAAATGTCGCCACGAGAACAAGTTTACACCTGATGATTGCATTTACCATAAAACTTATAGTTGTGAAAAATATGCAGTTTTATTTATAAATATTATATGTAAATACAGCTTTGTTTTAATTTAAATCATTTTAATTTACTTTAATTCACCAAGCACTTTCACGAAGATATATGCAAGCACTAATACGTATATATATATATATATATATATATATATATATATATATATATATATATATATATATATATATATATATATATATATATAAATTAGTTGTAAACATGAGTTTATGAGAACATCTATGCAGTATTTATAAAATAAAAATTATTTT